GTTTTTTCCAAAAATTGCTCAAAAACCACCTCAAAATTTTATTACATTCTCTGATACATATTGATGTCCTTATGCTGTGTAGAAAGTTTGAGCTGATTCCGACTTAAATTTTTCAAGTTACGGCCATTTAAAAAATATGCCAATTTCTGAAAAAATCCCTGTACAAGTACATTGTACATGTACAGGGATTTTTACATTAATTTTTTGGCATTTTGCAATCAAAATTTTCAATAGTGAAATGTTTAGTAATACATGCATGGACTATTTTTCCAATTAAAAGCTGGCCTAATGTATTTTTCAAGTAAAACCTTCAAAATAAAGTACAGCTAAATCACACGACAGTCACATGATTTCAATTACCTGATTGAGTGACTCCAGAGTGAAGTACATGGCAGAGCAGGAGGTGGAGAGAGGCAGGTATTGCTGGGAGACTCTCTCAACTTCAGCCATTACAGTATCAGTCTCCTCCATCTTCCTCTGAACTTCTCAGCCTCTTCCTTAAGAGCCTCAAGCTCAGTAATGATTCTAAAAATAGACACAACAAAGATTACATCATGTAATAAGTGTTACTATATTTAGATGTATTGTTACTATTATTAGTGATGATTCTAAAAATTAATACATTAATGATTACATCATGTGATAGTTGTTACTATATTTAGATGTGTTGTTACTATTATTAGAAGTTACTACATGTATAATTAGAATTGGGGATACCTGTTGTCGTCTAGGATAGGACAGGGTTCAGGATTGGGTCGTAGCTCTCAACGTCCTAGAGGAATTGAGTATGAAATAATAAATGTTTCCTGACAGGGTTCTTAGTTCTAAAAAATCTGAAAATATTCCCAAGCTGTGGTTGGAAAAAATTCAGAAAAAATTCCAAAAATAAAAATAAAACAATTAAAAAATATTTCCATGATCTCGTAAAAAAAAATCAGAAAAAATTCCAAAAATAAAACAAAAATAATCCAAAAATAATATACCAATCATAATAAAAAAATTTTTTAAATTACAAAAATTAAATAAAAAAATATGAAAATATTCTTAGGCTGTCGGGAAAAAAATCAGAAAAAATTCGAAAAATAATATAAAAATAATCCAAAAATATTTCCACACTCATGATTAAAAAATTTGAAT